AAAATAAAACAGCATCAGGCATGTTAAATATTGGATACAAAATAATCAAGAGTGCAAGTGTTAAAACACAAGAAATCTTTAGAAAAGTTGCAGATATATGTCTGAAACTGGAAAGATACTATACAAATGGAAGTTAGTGCAAATATATCCAATCCTAAAGGATGAGAATTGGGGTTACAAGCTTTGTAACATTAGACTAATTGCACTTTTAGAAACTTTCAAAAAATGCTTAACCAAGATGGTAGCAAAAAGAATATCTTGTATAATGAAAGAAAAAAAAATACTCAAGGGTTCAAACTTTGCTAGCCTACCTGAAAACTCAACAAAAGAAGTAATTTATATTGTGGAAATGTTAAGAGAAGATGTGAAAGAAAACAATAAAGAGTTGTGGTTATTGATGCAAAATATAAAGAAGGCATACGATTCAGTATTAATGAAGTTACTCCAGCTAGTATTACAGAGAATTAAGCTGCCAGTGGAAATTGTAAAGTTTATCACAGAGTTATATAGCAGAAGAGAAGTTAGTATTATAATAGAGTTTGGGTTGACAAAGAAATTTATCACTAGAGATAGGATTGAGTAAGAAGAGACAATTTCACTATTAGTTTGAAGAATATTTTATGATCTATTATTAAGAAGAATTCAAGATGATTAGTAGTTAGGGTATGAAATTGAGATATTCAAAGTGCTAAACTTGCAAATAAACAGAATTAAAGTGAAAAAAGCAAGGCAAGCTGCAGTAGTATATGCTAATAATACAACTTGTGTAGCAAAGAGTAAAGAGGAGATGCAAGAAATCATTCAAATTTTGCAAAGGTTCTTTAAATTCAATAATATTCAAATCAACAGTTCCAAGTCAAAGCTGTTGATAGTTAACTCAAATACAGAAGAAGATAAGAATTCTGTTCTGATAAACAATTTTCAACTACAAGTTGAAGAGAAGTATGCATTGATGAGAATATTAGAGGTATAGTTAAGTATAGAAGCAAATGAAAATTTAGTTATCAAAAAGACAAGAAAAATTATATAGCAGTTTATATGTAGTATACAATTTAAGAAGTTAACTATCAGTCAGTTAATATACATTAATAATATATATATAATACCAAAATTGACATATATGTTGCAAACTACAAAAGCATCTAAAGGGAAGCTAATGCACTTATATCAACCAGTAGTTAGATTAATCAAGAACAAAGTAGGGTTGGCATCAACTACAAAAAACAGTACAATTATGCATCAAGATCTAAGAAGATGTAGAATATTAAGTTAAGAGATATTTAATAATCAGTTGGTATCATTGCAAAGAAAATTAAATGAGCTAAATCAAGTTGGTAAAATAACAAGAATATGAGTAAAACAAGACTTTACTCTGGCAGGATTAGTATCAGAGGATTTAGATACAGAGTTGTTAAGCAACTTATAGCATATTTGAAATAATAATTTAGTATGTCTAGTTATATTTAAGGCAAAATAAATAGGAGTAACAGTAAAGAGAGAAGATGATCTTTGGTAGATTTATGATATGGATAAAACTGTACATAATGTGTTAGAAAAAGAAACATTCAGAATAACATGTAGAAGGTTAATAGAATATAAAATATTTTTTATATAACAGTTAGTTGATCAAGACAACAAGAAAATGATTATATGAAAGAAGTTTAGAGCATTATGAATAAGTACACAAAGAGGGCAAAAAGCAAACTGGTTCTCAAAAATTAAGCAGAAAATATTAAGTATTTAAGATGACAGAACAGTTTAAGCAGAACTTCAAACACAAAGCATGAACATTATGGCAATGCAATCTATATACAAAAAGTTAACACAAGATAGAAAAAGACATGAATAGGTATTAGTAAATAAGAAGAATATGAACTTGATAATAAGCAAAATAATTAAAAAAAGAAAGAAAGATGTACTTATAAGTCACTGGAATATATTTAAAATTAAAGATTGAAATTATTCAGTACTAGTTGAATGTAAAAAGTACAACTTGGATAATAAAAAAAATGCAAGTAACTGTCAGCATTAGATTAAGAAAAAAGAAATAGCAGACATGTTGTTAGGAATCAGATAAAAGAATAACTAGAAAATTCCAGTTCTGTTAGAAGAATTAAGTGAATATAAAGAGAGTCATACAAAGAATAGAAGTAATAGTAGAGAAAAAGTTGTAGATAAGAAAATAAAAGTATACGTACATGAAACTAATCTGTTAAAGATCCAAGGTTTTGATAATAATCTAAAAATATTGTTATTAAAGCAATTAAAAGAAAACATGAAAGTAGATTGTACAGATTACAGTTTTTATACAGATGAGTCACTAGTAAAAGAGAAAAATGAGTGCAGAATGAGTACAAGTTGGGTTCAGGTTAGCAAAAATGAGAACAGACTATTAATGGAAAGGAAAATTAGAATAGCAAAATGGCCATCATTGACAAAGACAAAGTTAGCAGCAATGTGAATGATAGTATTGGTTGTAGCATATAATAGTAAGGTAGTCATTAAATTAGATAGTGCAACAGCAATTGCAAGCCTAAAAAATGAGAAACCACTACATAATATTAGAGTGTGAAGTAAAAATAAGAACTTTAGATTAGTTACAAAGATTAAAAACATGTGCAAGTCAAAGAACATTAAGCTATTTTTAGTTAAAGTCAAAGCATATAGTGGAATATTATAGAATAAAAGAGCAGATAAGCTTGTGAAAGAAGGTGCATAGCAAATTAAAATTACAAATTTGAAGCTTGAGAAAACTTGAGATTTCTATATGCATTATTTTGGAAAGAAACAGTAATAGAGATACTAACAAAAAAATTTGTCAAGACATTAATAAACATGATGAATGATACTAAGTAGCATTACTTAAGTATAACAAAAGAGCTAGAACCAAATGCAGAAGCATAATGTGATTAGAAACGATTGTGAAAAAAAAATAAAAATTTAACAGAAAACAAATGTAAATTATTAGAAGAAAGCAAGAGAATCTTATTTGGAATTAAGTGTATTACTAATAGTTTGTCAGTGCTTAAGATGTTAAAGAAGAGAGCACCAGACTTATATAGTTCAAATTTATATAAAGAATATAAAACAGAGGAAGAATCATCAAGACATTTGTTCATTTGTGAGAAATATGAGAGTTATTGGAATAATATCAAAGAGTTAGCATATTAGTTAGTATAGAAAAAGTTTGACAAGTTAAACAAGTGCAAGCTTATAAGACATGACTTGAAAAGAATATTAGTTGGTGAAACAGAAATAGATAGAATTAAATATAGGAAGGCATACATATATGAGTTAGCAGTTGAGAGTATGTTTAAGGAGTTGTATGCTAAACAGATTTCATGTAAAGCTGTGAAGCAGAATATCAGATTATACATTAAGATTGTAGAAAAGATGTTCAGAAAAGAAATTTGGTAATAAAGATATAGAACAGTAGTTGAGTAAGAGGAAGAAAATGAAATAATAATGAAATTAAAATGAAGAAAAGACAAGATGGTTGAAAATAGTGAATGTAGTATAAAGAAAGTGAAAATTAAAGAAACATTAGTGAATAAGGTCAGAGAAGAGAAATATAAAGAAAGGGAGATGGAACAAAGGCAGTTGTTTATGAAAAGTATGAATGAAATAATACAGAATGGAAATAGTCCATCCTAGTTCGGTTCTTGACAGAGCTGATAAAATTTTCTAATCTAAGAATAGGTTAATATGACAAGTCACATTTAAGTGCAGTTTCTGTACTTGGATGATGCTAGGCTTGCAATTGTAAAGGTGGATTACTAGAAATAGATAATGTTTCAATTAGTAAAATTTTATATTAAAACTCTGACAAGGCTGTCAAAGAATAAAATAAAAAAATAAAATAAAAAAAAATAGAAATAAAAAAAATACTAATTAAGAGCCTAATTCAAAAATAATTTAGGATAAATTAGCACAACTTCTAGATATAAGAACAAAACAAAGATTTGTTAATACATTGTTAAAAACTGTCTAAAATACCTTTTATAAACAAGTTTAAAGAACATGATGTGAAAAAATTAATAAATAAGAAAAAAGTACAAAAATAATTAGCAAAATGAAAAAAAAAAATCCAAAAGAAAAAAAAAATTTTGAGTAAAAAAAAAATTAATTAGCAAGAAGTAAAAGAGAAAAAAAAAAAGCTAAAAAAAAAAAAAACAAATAAAAAATAAAATCAGAAAGACAATTTTGGGACTTGCTGTGAAAGAAAAAAGACCCTTTCATTATGGACTTTAAGTAGTCAGACAAACAGCTTACTTCTGCTTAAAGTAATATAACAGGTTGTACTTAGACACCATTAGGATGGCCGGGTGATGCTAGGCTTAGCTGTTAGGTACATCTATGTAATTGCAATAGTAATTTCAAGAATCTTAATAAAGTATTAGCATAACTGCTTATATAAAAAAAAAAAAAAAAAAACTTTCTATAATAAATTTTGATCAAATTAAGCTTAATATAAGTTAAAATTTTGAATAATAACCAATTGCCAAATTAAGAGCTATAAACTAGTTTGAAACTTAATTCTTTTCTAATTTAAGCTTTGAAGTCCCAAACAAAGACCAACTAACTACTTAAAAACCTCAATAAACGGTCTGGAACTTAAGTTCTTTAACATTCCTATAAAAGAATTAAACAAAAACCATTTTCCAAATTAAGAGCTATAAACTAGTTTGAGACTTTATTCTTTTCTAATTTAAGTTTTAAACTGAAGTCCCAAACAAAGACCAAACTAACTACTTAAAAACCTCAATAAACGGTCTAAGACACTTAACATCCCTAATTTTTGAGATATAGTATCCCCAGCGGTATCACCATTGGCGAATATTCTAATAAATTAGTACTGTAATTTTATTGGTCAAATTTTGTCGATCAGTCACGCGCACGCACTTTTTTACTGGAGTCTCGTAAAACACTCGATCACGAAATATTTTTTAATTCAAGAAAAGACACATTAACTTTGAAGTATACAACTTTGAAGTATACAGTCGTAATGGCAGATAAAAAAGTTACCATTTATATTGTCGATGTTGGACCTACCATGTGGCAAGTTGAGCATAAACCTGACGTCACGGGGCTAGATCTTGCACGTAAAGCTGTTTTGATAATGTTAGAAGCGAAGGTAAATTAGGATTATTGGTAGCGCGCCATACAGCTGAAGTGATTGGTCCGATAACACGTGGCCACGCGATGCAATTGAATGTATACTTGAAGAACTGAACACCTTATCGTAATGTTATTTATAGGTAATAACTGGACTGAAAACCGATTTAACTAGTCTCCTTCTTTTTGGAACAGACGGTATGTTTCATAAATCGTAAAGCAGTTATTCATATTTTAAATCCTGCCGCGTATATCCATTAAAAAAGATAATTAATCACAGAAACACATAATTATATGAACGATCAGACTGGTGGCTATGAACATGTAACTACACTTTATCCGATTGAACAACCCAATATGTCAATCCTTCGAACAGTCAATAACGAGCTGCCTCGCGGAAACGTTAAAGGAGATGGTTGGCTAATTTCAGATTTGCAATTTGCTTTATAAAATACATTTTAAGCTCATTTGTGTCCATTAGCTTTCGACGCTCTTATTGTCGCCCTGGGCATGATTGACTTACATTGCAGAAAACTCAAGTTCACGAAAAGGATTTATCTTTTAACCGATGGAGAGTCACCGATAAACAGTTCTGATCTTGATGCAGTTTTGCATCAAATAAATGATTCAAATGTTGAATTAAATATATTGTGCGTATAATTTTGAATTCATATACCAATAATCATCAGAAAACTTATTTTATAACGCGTAATTATTTATAGGGGTATTGGTTTTGATGATCCTGAAGCAGGATTTTTTGAAGAAAATAAGTCAGAAGTGAAGGTAAGCACGTTCTCCAATTTAAATTTGTCATGATCTTATCTGAAGTTGGTATTTAAATATATTATAGCGACAAAGCGAATCTTTTTTCAACAAAATTGTAAGCAAATGTCAGAAAGCAACAATCTTTTCGATGGAAGAAACATTAAAACAACTTTCAAAGCCGCATATCAGAACAGTGAGGCCCGTTCCTATCTTTAAAGGTGCATTGACTCTTAATGATGCCAAAGTGTCCTCTCAAACATCTCTTACAATAAATGTTGAGATGTATTCACGTACAACAAAAGTACGACCTCCTACATCAACAAAATATTCAGCCCTTTCTGAGACTACCAGCACTTCCAACAAAACGTCTGAAGTAAATATGTCTAGAACTTATACTATATCGGTTGTTGATAATGACAAGAATGAGGCAGTTGATGTTCCACGTGAAGATTTGAATAAGGCATATTCGTTAGGAAAGACGCTTATTCCTGTTAACGAGGCAGATGAAGAAGTCTTTACCATGGTTACGAATAAATCAATGGAAATTGTTGGATTCGTCAAAAACAATGAGGTGAATATAATACCAGTTATATATTTACCTTGCCTTACGCTTTAATTAGAGATTGTACCCAGATAGACATTTCTATTATATGGCTATAATGATACCCGAGTAATTAAATAATACAGGGTAGAAATTTCTTGACGGGTACAATCTCCGGCTTTAATATAAGTACTGAGTGCAGAATATTATTAGTTTAAACGCGAATACTTAATGTCGACAGTTGCCGTAGTCGTTCCTCAGACCAATAATCTGACAATGGCTCAGCGTCTTTCGGCACTAATTCATGCATTATACGAAAAGGACTCTTTCGCAATAGTTCGCTATGTGAAAAAGAATAACGACCCACCAAAATTAGGAATATTAATTCCTTATATTCGTGCGCCGAGAGAATGTTTATATTTTTGTCGTGTATGTATTCATATTTAATATATATTATTTTATTATTTTTTTTTTTTTTGGTCGACCTGATTACTTAATAAATATTTTCAAAGATTCCATTTAAAGAAGATTGTCATCATTTTGCCTTTCCTTCTTTTGATCGCGTTATAAGTAAAAGTGGTAAAGAATTGACAAATCACAATTATTTACCAAACGATGAGATGCTTGAAAAAATGGACCATTTCATTGACGGAATGGATCTCATGAGTGCTGCGAAAGATGAAGAAGGGTAAGGATCTTTGTGATTATGTTTTGATAGGTATTTAATTAATATTTAATACATAGTTTTACTTAGCAATATGAAAGAATATCTCAAAGTTAAAGAATGTTTCAATCCGGTTATTGTTCAAACCAAGAAGGCAACTTGTCACAGAGCATTATATCCGAACGATCAGTTACTTCAGCCTGACCAAGAAATGGTTGCACAAACACAGTTTCTTCCGTCACTGATTCAAAAGAATTTATATCTAGCAAACGATATGCGGACATTATTTAACATTAAAAAAGGTATGACCGATCGAATTATTTGTAAGCCATTCGAGTTTGTAAGTTTTTTTTTCATATTTTAATATTTCAATATAGTTAACAAAGAGAGAGGAAAAACTGGGAAACGCCGATTTGCCGATGCCAACAAACCTAGTAGCCAAGAACTTAGTCTTGAGGAAATTTTGAACAAACCAGAAGAGCATAAAAATGGGAAAAGGGCTAAATCTGATGATGGGGTTACTACAGATGCGTTAATCCAACATGAAGCTATTCGAGAGGTCGGCACCATCGATCCAATATCGAATTTCCAGGCAATGATTGCAAATCGACAAGAAGATTTAGTTTCAACTGGTAATCGTTCTTATTTATATTCGATTTATGTTTATAATTGCACATTATATATACTGTCAACAGTTGATTCTATGTTTATCTGCCTTAGCTGTGGAACAGATGTCCGTGACAATATTGCATTTTGTCAAAACATCGTTTGCTGAAGGATTATATCCAAAGGCATTAGATTGTCTTAAGATTCTACGACAGGCGTGTAAGAAGGTACTATTTAGTTATAATATGGGGAAGTCAATATGAAATCAAACTTTTATAAGTTTTTAATACTTTAAACAAAAGTAAAAATTTTTTTTTTTGTAATTTGTAAGCTTTAAAAAGATTTTGAAATTGGATTTAAGTTCTTTATTCAAAGTTTTATTAAAACAATCTGCTTGGTTTTTATTGACTTATCCACATATATTCTAAAATACATAATTTATATTAATTAGGAAAATGAAACATCGAGGTTCAACGATTTCTTCAAAAAATTGAAGACTACATGTTTCATGACACAACCCTCTAAGACTGATTTTTGGGATTTGATTATTCGTGAGAAAATAACTTTAATTAGTCGAGATGAAGCACCGGATAGTACTACGTCAATTCAGGAAGCTGAAGAGGTTGGTATATTCAGTGTTAATTTTTTAAAATTTACTGTCGGGTACCATACAATTTGGAAACTTGTACATCTTTTCAAAGAGAATATGCGTAAATTTTGTTTGTGCTGTGTACGGTCTGCACAGCGAAAAGTAATCACTGGGTACATATCATGTTTGTTCCATTATAATTGTATGATTTAATTATTCTTCCAAAAAGTTTCTCCGGCCCCTTGAAAAGAAATCGAATACTGATACATTGGATGAAGATACAGTGGCTACCGATGATTTGGTAATGTGTTTGACTTATATTACGACGCGCAATCTCTTTATTGACTCAATTTAAACATTTTGTAGTTTAAACTGATGGAAGACTAGCTAAAATAATAAAATGGTTCACAGTTCTTTTTTCGGAATATTCGATGCCTTTTATTCATAAGTATGTAAAATAAACCGACTATGTCTTATCAAAACATAAAAATTTATCTGATTTATTGTTTATTTTTTTTTTTGTTTCTATCACATCCAAAATCTCGAAACCATAATCCCGACGTGACAATTAGTATTTAAAGATTAGTAATCACATTGCAATCATTGTCAAAGTCAAAATTTTAATTGCCACATCGTGTAATGTCAATATTATAGCCAGTGGAGATTTTGGATGTCTGGATTTAGTAGAATCGTTTTTTTTTTCTTTTTTTTGCGAGATCGATATTCTGTTTAACCAAACAATTTTTAACGATCTGTTAATTAAGTACGTACACAATAAAAATAAAAAGTCATACTATATGAGGGAACCTGTCATTATTTATATATATTTCAATGATAAAATAACATTAAATCCTTATCAAATCAAAATCTAATATCGTTTCCCTTGCCATACATGTAGAAAGAATATGATACAAGAGGATGTTATCTTCTGTGTTATTATATAAAAGCAATTATTCTTGCTTACCTATTCTAATTTATTATCTAAATAATTATCAAGTACCAAAGCAATAGTTTAATTCGATTTCTTTTTAGAATTTTTTTTCTTACTCTTTTTACTTTTAGTACCGCTTGTTGACGTAGATGATACTTCTACATAATCTTCTTCTTCCGCGGTAAGGACGGCACTTGCTCCAGAATTGTCGTCATCACCCTGGATATTTCGTTTCTTTAAACTTCCATCGTCGCCTTCGCTTTCACTTGATATTTGCTTCGCTAGATGACCTGTGTCTTTCTTTTTCTTTTCTTCGCCTTTGCTTTCGGCATCATCAGCAGAATAACTAAAAACATCTTTTAATTGATTTTTCGCTATTCCGGTAGCGAGGACAGACAATATACACGCTGGGGAAAGATAAAGCAACGCAGGTTGTGCAGCTTTAAATGTGTGCATAACTACTATCGTTGTGACAAGCCCCAATATGTATGCCGTAAAACAGTTCCAAAAATAAGGAGTATGGAAAGTAGAGCGTCGATCCGCGTTAGGGTTCTTTTTTAGGTAATTGCTGTGGTCGAAGCGAAGACAAAGGGCCACATAAATACCTAAAATTACGATATAGATCCTTCTCAACTACAGTCCTAAAAATAATGTACCGTGTTTTCAGGAGAATAGCTTACCAGGAACAACAATATCGCCCAATCCAAGCATTGTAAATTGCAAAGCTTCATCAGGTTGTAATCCAGTCCACTGTTTTGGCCATACAACTTTAATGGGTGCATCAAAGCTCTTTGCTACAGTGACCATAACCTCTGTACCAAATACCCAAAATATATCGTAGAAAAATAATCCGCCAAGAAGAATCATACCCGTTTTGAAGGAATCCAACGATAACATCTGAATTGCGTTAAAAGCAAAGGCAAGTCCGAAAATATTTGATGCAATCCAATTTTTGGTGCCTACATAAAAAGCAGTAAGGATAATGGAAAAGAAAAAAGACACGAGATGCATGATTGTAAAATTTGCAATGTAAAGTTCTAAACATATAGAAAGTAATTGTTAATCAAAATGTCAAAAAAAAAAAAAAAAAACCACAGATTTAAACAACCTTTAGCCTTTTTTGTTAATACGAGTTTATAAGTGTCAACTTTAAACTCTTTAAGATTGAAAACGCTTTTGATAACATGAACCCCAACATTAGTCACTGCAACTACGCCCAAGAATGCAAAGTATGCAGTAACAAGATAATTAACATATTCTTTATCCAACAATTTAAATATTAGATATAGAGAAAATAACACGACTGAACCAAATATGGGAAAGAGGTAAGCGTCTTCTGTTGATAAAGACTCAGTTGAAGATTCCTCCTCTGAAGACGAGTCCGCATCATGACCGGGGCCTTTATGTTTTTGTTTGGATTTCTGATATAAATAAGTATATAAAAAAAAACGGTTAATCAGATCTTTACGGTACTGATTAAACAACAAAAGATTACCTTAGGCCATTTGACTGATGCAAATGAACCATAGTATATCGGCACTATGGCCATGATACCCAAAGCAGCATATGCAATCAATAATCCGAACTCCATATTTTTAAACAGCAAACGGAATATAAAGTTTTAAGAATTGAAGGAATGAGATATGTATTATATACTCACATAAGTGAGAAGGGCGAGGCTTTACTAGTTTTTAGACTGCGTTGTTAGTTTTTGATTTGTGAAAGTTCTTAAAATAACGATTTTGATTGGCTAAAAACTAAAGGAGCCTAGATCCTATTGGCAATATTACCCATACTGGCTTACATGTGGCATTTGTTTTTATTGGCTGACCTGATTGGCCAAAAGGATTAACACACGTTTATTTCTCGTATGAAGTTTGAAATTCCTTTAGTAAATCTAACACAGTGCAATAATTTTTTATGAGGAGCTTCTAAATCGGATAAAACAATTTCCGAAAGTTCGGATGACCCGTGTAAGATTCGCTCGCCTGACCCGTATAACACTCATTATATAATTTCTGAAACACCTAATAAAAATTATCCGAACGATTCCTCGTAAACTTTCAAAAAAATTCACTATTGGACAGTGAAGTACTTAGTTACAATTTTTACATTTACCATTACTAATGCTCCTTCTATAACGAGGTACATATACCACCGCATATTCTTTAGTTTGAAGATTTTGTGTCAACCCACACACTTTAAATTTATTGTTTTTTCTAATTTCATATTTAAAAAATTGAATGGACTCTCAGAACTAGGTAAAGTTTTGAGCTCTACTAGGCATGGCTGATAATGTACTTTTTGCGATAGAGGATAAATTTATTTTGAGGTCTGTTATTTGTAAATAACTACTCCAATATTGACTAGATAGTAAAGTAGTACAGTACGGTAGTACGAGCTAGTAATGTTGCACCTGAAACTAGTGACGTTTCCCGTCAAAATTGCGCGGATACGGACATTGTCCCATGTTCCGGACAATGTCCAACTAATTAAATCAAACCTATAAGTTTTTTGATTATTTTATGTTACACGAAATGAAAATCACTTTGTTTTTGTTAAAGATCATACTTCCGTCTGTTAACAAATTTTTCTTGTTTTAATGTAGATCAAATGTACACATAACATGTAAAAACATACAACATAGATTAAGATTCAGATACTGAAGAGTATAAGGGAAAAAAAAATGAAAAAAAAAGATTAATACAGTATATAGTCTTTTGAACTGCTAATGGTTTTTATTTTTTTTATTTTTTTTTTTTTTTTTAACCTTTGGCAGTTACGCTAGTACTTTATTAAGATTCTAGAAACTATAAAATTACATAGAAATTCCTAATATCTAAGTCCAGCA